CTGGAAGTCCTAGCCAGAGCAATAAGACAATAGAAAGACATCCAAGGAATCCAAATAGGAAAAGATGAAGTCAAACTATCACTATTTGCAGATGATATGATAATATACATAGAGAACCCTAAAAACTCCACAGAAAAACTAATTCAACTCATCAATCAGTTCAGTAAAGTGGCAGGATACAAAATCAACACGCAAAAGTCAGTAGCCTTCCTATACACAAACAATAAATCTGAAGAAGAAGAAATCAAAAAAACCATCCCTTTTTTTATTGAAACAAAAAAAATCAAATATTTGGGAAGAAATCTAACAAAAGAGGTAAAGGACCTATACAAAGAAAACTATAAAACACTGTTAAAAGAAATAGAAGAAGACACAAAGAAATGGAAAGACATCCCCTGCTCATGGATTGGAAGAATAAACATTATTAAAATGGCCATCCTACCAAAAGCAATATACAGATTCAATGCTATTCCAATCAAAGTTTCAATGTCATTCTTCAAAGAAATAGAACAATTATTGATGAAATTCATATGGAATCACAAAAAACCCCAAATAGCCAAAGCTCTTCTGAAAAAAAGAGAAGGGAATGGAGGCCTCACACTCCCAGACTTCAAACTATACTACAAAGCCATAATCATCAAAACTGCATGGTATTGGAACAAGAACAGACATACAGACCAATGGAATCGAATAGAAAATCCAGAAATAAACCCACAGATTTATGGTCAACTATCTTTGACAAAGGAGCAAAGACTATGCATTGGAGCAAAGAAAGTTTGTTCAATAAATGGTGCTGGGAAAACTGGGTCGCTACATGCAAAAGAATGAAACTTGACCACTACCTCACACCATACACAAAAATCAACTCAAAATGGATTAAAGAACTAGACATAAGACCTGAAACCATAAAATATATAGAAGGAAATATAGGCGAAACACTACGTGATTTGCACATCAAAGACATCTTTACAGACACATCACCCAAAGCAGTGATAGTGAAGGCAAAGATAAACAGCTGGGACTACATCAAATTAAAGAGCTTCTGCACAGCAAAAGAGACAATAACAAAAACAAAGAGAAACCCCACCGACTGGGAGAACATTTTTGCACCCAACACTAATGATAAAGGACTGATCACAAAAATCTGCAAAGAGCTGATGAGACTCAGCAACAACAAAGAAAATAATCCAGTCAAAAAATGGGCAGAAGAGCTAAAAAGAAACTTCTCTGAAGAGGAAATGCAAATGGCCAACAGGCATATGAAAAAATGTTCAACATCACTTGTCATCAGGGAAATGCAAATCAAAACTACCATGAGATACCATCTTACACCAGTGAGAATGGCACATATTAAAAAAACTAGCAACAACAAATGTTGGCGAGGGTGTGGAGAAAAAGGAACTCTCCTGCACTGTTGGTGGGAGTGCAAACTGGTCCAACCACTATGGAGAGCTGTGTGGAGATTTCTGGGCCTACTAAACGTAGAGCTTCCATATGATCCAGCAATTCCACTCCTAGGTATTTACCCAAAGGACACAGAAACATCAATTCCAAAGAACACCTACACCCCTATGTTTATAGCAGCACTATTTACAATAGCTAAGCTTTGGAAACAACCCAAATGCCCAAAAATAGATGACTGGATCAAGAAGATGTGGTACATATATACCATGGAATATTACTCAGCATTCAAAAAAGATAAACACATGCAATTTGCAGCAACATGGATGGCGCTGGAAGGGATCATGCTCAGCAAAATAAGCCAAAAAGAAAAAGAAAAATACCGAATGGTGTCACTCATAGCAGGAATCTAGAAAACTTAAATAAGGGACCAGGAAAATGAATAACTATAAGAAAGTGAAAATCAAAATCAACAAAAAACTATGAACCAGAGACACTTTTTGGGGGGCGGGGGCGGGAGGGGAGGTATTGGGGCCAGAATGGGCGGGCTGCAATTGTATGGGGAATATAAAAATAAAATTTATTATTTAAAAAAATAAATAAATAAAGGGGTGTATTTTATGACATGTGGATTACATGTTAATTTTTTAAGTTCATCTACCCATCATTCCAGACAGTCACAGATGTGACTAAACTGGGTTTCAAGCTCAAACACCCAAATTGGTAGCCTGCAAACAACCCACCTCCTCAACTTTCTTCATGCCATTTCTTCTTCCCAGAACCCCTGCACATCTTCCCTTGTGAAATTCTACCCATCACTCAAGATTATCTTAAAAGCCATGGTTTTCCTAGTCTTTGCTGCCAAACATGGCCACTCTTTCCTCTGAACTTCTCATACTTGGTAGAGCTCTCTCAGAGACACCTCGCCATTTTGCACCTTGCATTATAGATATGTGTACATTTGTTCTGACACTTCCTCCTTGACCATAAGATTACTAAGGATAAGAACAGGGTCCTGGCGCAGGTGGTTGAGCGCCGTGCAGTGAAGCTGTCCGCAGCCTCTGCAGCCCCAGTTCGATCCCGGCCGGCCGCCAAGGGTCCCAAATGGCACGGCAGACCTCTCCTGTCTCGCCCGCTGCTCCCCTCAGTAGTGTTTTTCTGCCTGTTCTGTTCCCCACTCTGTCTCTGGAGAATCCTCTCACCCTCCCACACATCTGGCCTGTACCCCGGTTCTTGTATAAATAAATAAATCTTAAAAAAAAAATAAACTGGCTGTTGCTCAGTCATCTTTGATGAATTGAATAAAGATGAGTTACTCTAAGGTGACAAACTTCAAGCCAGGGAGAAAATATTGCCCCAGTGATAGGTTGCGTGAGGAAAAAATGTTTAGGATGTGGGTTGAGAGCAAGGGGGTTCTCAAATTTTAAGGTGTTCCAGGATCAACTGAGAGAACTATTACCTCTCTGTTCTCTACACTCACCCCTCAGGGGTCTGACTGCCACCTGGAGTAAGGCCCAGAAGAATCCCCAGGGACTTTGATGCAGTGTCCCACAGGCAAAACTTTTGGGAAACTCTGACTTTGATTTAAACATTTACAAATGAATAAATGTTTTTACTTAATTTATCTTCTCTAGCTGTTTAGTCAACTAAATTCTTAAGTTCCTGTGGGAATGACCTCCTCCTGAGAATTAACTGTGGGGAGAGCTATGTTTTGTTGGAAGTCTTCAAAGGAACTCTTAAAAAGGTGGTATTATTCAGGACTTGTGGTTAAAAATGCTCTGGTGACTTCCTGGCCATGCTAACCATACACTGGTGCCTCAGATGTTGAGTCAAGTGGTGATTTCTGACTTCCCCTGTTTCATAGCTCCACGTTGCTTTCACCGTGACCTTGGGCATTTTCCTGGTATAAAGGAAAGAAAGCTCAGTCTGAGGGGTGTGTATGTGTGTGTGTTCATTGCCTGGTTTTTCAACCTTAGCTCTGAACACAGATGCTGAAAGTAGCACATTTCTTAGTACATAGGCAGAAAAGATAACCTACAAGAAACTACTCAAACACTTTTCTCAAAATAAAAATGGGCCATTCCTAAAGCCATTGTTTTAATAAATAATGTGAGTCACTTGGATTTAAAACTAGCAACCACAGGTGAAAAGGTCCCTACTCACAATAGTCATAACTGCAAGAGCAGATAAGATGTACATGCAGCAACCCCTTGACCAAAACAGAAGGCCTAGCACACCTCCTGCCTGAGCAGAGAGCTCTGAAGAATGCAAAGGCACTGGATCTGAAGCACAAAGAGCTGAAAGAGCATGGAGCCAAGTTCTATGTTCTGTTCTAAGTGCGTTTCATTTTCACCCCATTGCTCATGTGATCCCCACACCGAAAGTCTCCATCACCACCCACAGGACTCCCAGGAGCTTAGCAAATGGATGATGTTCCAGTGGTGAATCATCTGGTTCTGGATCTGGTTTTCCTTAGATCCCCAAGGCTGTAGGTCTTAGATCCTCCTGTCCCGTTTTACCAATACCTCAAAGCAGGGATTCGCTTATAAAGTCCAGCAGAGAGAGCACCTTGAATTGAATGCTTGGTGAGAAGTAAGCCAGGTTCAGGGGCCAGTAGTATCTATACCTGTTCTGAAATTAACTAGAGTCACATTTCCCCCCGGTGCAATTGGAGCGGTAGTGCTAAGGGTTTGGAGAGCAGACCTTACCCAGTTGAACATCTTTCCACCTTTTGTCGCAAGACAGATTGCATTTGATTATACCCAAGGAGGATGCTTTTGCTGGCCATGCACTGGCACACGGGCAGTGTTTATTCAACCTGCAAGCTTGAGTAACTCTGTCCAAGCTATTCAGAACAAACCAGTGTCCCCCAAGAGATCTAGCGTGGTGGACACCAGGACCCTAACAATATGTTAGATCAGAGTTAAAGGTGATGAGACAGATCAACAGAAATGTAGGGAAAAGTAAGTAAGCAGTGACTCCTCCCCTGGCCTGGCTGCTTCCTCCCTACCCCTCCTAGATTCCCGCATCTACTCAGCCCTAGTTACCAGGGTACAAATGTTGGGGTGGGCAGCTATGTCTGAATAGCATCACTGAGGTTAACTAAGGGTAATAATTGTGGTCATAGAGTTTTGGAGATGTTCCCTGGCTTAAGAAACCCCAACACCAGGACAATGATCCCTCAAGGTTCAGGAAGTTTGGGCCCACTGTGGGGGGGAGGGGTTGGTGTCACTGCTCTTCTATATAAGCCAAAACTGGACCAAGCCCAGAGGCCTCACATGGACTCTTTCTCTGGGTTCACCTGTGACTTTCATTGTTTGGCAGCTGCAGTTCCTACTGGGCCTTTAACTTGGCTGTGGATTGTCTCTATAGCACATGGTAGCTGTGACTCCTTGGACAGTTATTTAACCTTTCTGCTTCATCTGGTAAATGGAAGCCACATCTCCCTGGTGACATAATGCATGTCACAGCTTTCATCCTGTGCCTGGATCTGAGTGAGCTCTTGCTAATGGCTACCATTCTTCTTATTATTACTATTGCTCATATTGCACATTAATATTATTTTTAAAGTCTGACAGCAGTTTTAGATAAGTACTCACTTGTCTGGCACCAATGACAGGTGGATGGAGAAGACTTGGTGAGGGATGCTGAAATTTAGGAACTTGTAACCCCTCTAGTGGTATAACTTCAGAAGAAAGGGTCTCCTCACCAGGATGGCTTTGAATGGAGAAGGGAGAGTGAAGAGCAAATTTGTTTACTTCCTCTTTGCTGCAGAGAAAATGAGCTTGACTGAGCCAGGATGAAGTTGTTTTCAGAGCTCTGGTGGGTTTTCCAAGAATGAAAAATTATGAGTGAAGATATTGCAGTACCTGTTTGCATTCTTCCTTCTGACATGCAGCCCTGGAATTTGCAGACAAATTGTTCTGAGTCCCCATGGATCAGTACCAGGGACGAATGTCTCCCTCTGCCTGCTGCCACTGCCTACACTATGTCCCCAGTAGCAGACCCAGGACACAATCACAGGACTCAGGAAATAACTCAAACCAGTGTCTGAGCCAGATTTGGTAATTCCAAATTAAATTCTTGAAACATTTTTAAACACAGGAAACTGCTAACAACCTTCTCCTGTGCTGTGCTTTTGGGCAGAAAACACGAGAATGTATACATTCTGTCTACACAGAAAGGTACTTGTAGACCTTCACTAGGGATGGTAGCGCTTATAAAACACCAGAGATGGGCCTCCCTGGTGGTGCAGGCAGTTGAGTGCAGCACTGTGAAGCTGTCGGCAACCTCTGCAGTGCTGGTTCGATCCCCTCCCCTTGGAGCAACCCACATGGTGCGCAGACCTCTCCTGCCGCACCCGCTGCTCCCCTCAGCAGTGTATTTCGTCAGTCTGCCTGTTCTGTTCCCTGCTCTGGCTCTGGTGAATCCTCTCACCCTCCCGCGCATCTGGCCTATACCCCTGCTCTTGTATAAAAAAACAAACAAACAAAACCAAAAGACGATGACCACGACGCAGACCTCAGTGATGCACAGACACCCCCTGGGAGAGTTCTAGCTCCTTGATCTGGCGCGCACCAGTGCCATCTCCCTGCTCTCCTGCCTGAGAGAGTGATTGGGTATAATCTCTAAGACATCAGGGCTGCGAGACCTGGCCCTACTCATCAGCACTAGTCACACTCAAGTTCTCAAACAAATCTCAAGCATGGAGGAGTTTAGCCCGAGGGAAGGTGTGGCCACTGGTGGAGGCTGAAGCAGTGTCTGCAGCTTGTTGGAGCTCCAGGCTGATCCACGATAAGCCTGTGGAAGAGCTGGAAGCTTTGGAGCTGGGAATTATTAGCTAAATGTTTAAATCTTTTTGAAAGTAAACCAGACCCTGATTTTCCATCTTAATGCTACCTTTTATTATCAATGTGAACGTGAGTTACTTATGATGCCCAAACCCTATTTTCTACACTTGTAATAATACCTACATTACTTACCTCATGTCTTTGTGAGATTGTGTGCATTTTGTAAATAGAAAGCACTCCACAAATATAAGTGATTGTTATTACTATCCCTATAATTCTGGGACTTCGGAAGAAACAAAGACAAAGTTATTGATTATTTTCAAGGTCCTGAGGAAAAGAGGAAAGGACAAAAACAGCTTTAAAAAACAAGTGAACTTTCATCATGTATAAAAAAAAAATTAGCAAACTCAGGCAAGGATAGAGTCATTGACATGGGAGTTTCAGAAGCCAAGTATATTGATCAGGGTCTCCAGAGAAACAGAGTGTATCCTAGCTTCATTTGGTGGGGGAGGGTTTGGGGTGTTAAGAGGGGAGTGAGCAAGGCAGGTTTTCGGAGGCATTTGCTCATGAAATTATGGGGGCTCGTAGCTATGAAATATGCCTGGCCGGCTTGCAGGTTGGAGACACAGGGAAGAGGTGATGTTGTAAGTCAGGTTCAAAGGCAGTCCAGAAGCAGAATTCCTTCCTCTTCAGGAGACCACAGTCTTTTTAAGACCTTCAACAGGTTAGATGAGGACCAACCAGATAATCCGCTTTACTGAAGTTCACTGATTTTAATGTTAATCACATGCAAAAATTACCATCCCAGCGACCTCTAGACTGGTGTTTGACCAAACACCTGTTGCCATGACTTAGTCAAATTAACATCTAAAATTAACCATTGCACGAAGCAATGCAGAACTGCCCTTCAAAATAGTAATTTCATAAATTCTAAAAAACTGCAGCAGTGATAAGAAACACACTAAGTAATCTCAGGACTTCATCAACAGTTAAAGTGCAAATGAGGGGCCTCCCTGGTGGCCTAGGGGTTAAGTCTCAGTGCTATCACCTCTATGGTCTGAGTTTGATTCCTGGCCAGGGAGCTGACCCACATGGCACAGCAGTCCTCTTCTGTCTCACCTGCTACTCCCCTTAGCAGTGTATTTTAGTAAATATGCCTGTTTTGGAGGCCTCCCTGGTGGCACAGGCAGTTGATCGCAGTGCTGTGAAGCTGTCTGCAGCCTCTGTAGCATGGGTTTGATCCCAGCCGGCCGGGGAGACACACATGGTGCATCAGACCTCTCCTGTCTCACCTGCTGCTCCCTTCAGTAGTGTATTTCAGTCAGTCTGCCTGTTCGTAGTCTCTAGATGAATCCTCTCATTCTCCCACACATCTGGCCTGTACCCCAGTTCTTGTATGCATGAATAAATAAATCTTCAAAAAAAAAATGCCTGTCTGTTCTCCACTCTGTCTCTGGTGAATCCGTTTACCTCCCACACTCTGGCCAACACCACAATAAATCAATAAATAAATTTTTAAAAATAAAAATTTATAAAAAACATATGAAAAGTCATTTAAAAATAGAAGAAACTAGGTCAGATCACTCCAGATGTTTATAAAGAAAGAGTAAGAGTGTGTAAGAACAAGAATGAGGAATAGGGGCCTCCTCTGGTGGCGCAGTAGTTGAGCGCTGGGCTGTGAAGCTGCCTGCAGCCTCTGCAGCGCTGGTTCGATCCCCGGACACTGGCGAGGGTCCCACATGGCGCGCAGACCTCTCCTGTTGCACCCACTGCTCTCCTCAGCAGTGTATTTCGTCACTCTGCCTGTTCTCCCCGCTCTGGCTCTGGTGAATCCACTCACCCTCCCACGCTTCTGACTGTACCCAGTGCTTGTATAAATAAATAAATCTTTAAAAAAAAAAAAAAAGAATGAGGAGTAGGACAGATGAAAGGGGATGAAATCAGCCATTACAGCAGAAGGCACCAAAATAATCAGACACATCCTCGGAACCCAGGTAATATTATTCAGAGTCCAAATGCCTCTGTGAACTCTCTGGGCCTCTGGCTTCTTGGATCCGTGTATTACAGAAGCTGTTTCTGTGGCAGCAGAGCCAGGCCAGGACCGGAGCTGGTGGGAGGGGAAGCCTCCGTGAGTCTCCACCGTAGAGAGAAATGCTCAGGAGGACGATAAAAGGCAGTGGTGGCCCTTTGTTTATTGGGTCTCTCTTTTAAAAAAATATCAGATGTGAATTATAAACCAATCAAAACTTAGTTGTATTGGAAAAAGTGAAACTGAATGTGACCAGCAACCAAAAGTGTCCCCTGAGAAGCTGTGAAGCTGAGTGTGGGCACGTGAGCCAGCTCTGAAGCCTTCCGGCTCCTGCTCTGTTTTCTCGGATGGTGGCAGACAGAAATTCCATTTGAGTAGAAATGAAAACAAATGTGGAACCCATCTTTAAAAAAAGGGGGTTTGGGAGGTGGAGATGAATTAATTAGTAGTTAAAGACCAGATAGCACCGGTAGCTAGGAAGATTTGGTTGAATCATTCCATACATTGATCTCTACATCAAAGAACATAAAAGACCAGGATGCAACCAAAAGGGCTTTTTGAGATGCTTGGGGAAAAGCAGGTTCAAGTACGGCATTCTTTCCAAATTTGGGAGCACACAGCACAGTCTGGCCACCTCTTAGCCGGGAACCTCCAGATTTAGTCGCCTCCAGGGGCCTGGAGTGCTGGTCCCACACTCTGGAGATAAAATGTGCTGCAAGCAGCGTCCTACCCACACAGATACAAACAACTGAATTGAATCCCAAGTGCATTTCTTGAGTTTATTGTGTGGTGTCTGACCAGGAGGTGATTTTTTTAAAACTGCACGAATGCACAGGACCTGATTTTTGCCCGCCAACGCCACCAAGACCGAAGCTCACATTAATAAAAGAAAAGGTTGATTGTAGTTAAAACAGAAAGGAGAATTCAGACTTAAGCAATAACTCTTAACCATCAGGATGATAACATTGGAATTTCCTCTGGAGAGAGAACTAAAGAGTTTCCGCTGTTAGATGTAACGATGAGACTAAACAGCAGCCGGGCTGTGTGGGTGGGTAGACGTTCACCTGCCCCAGAGCACAGCCTGGGGCAGGTAATTTGGAGAGGTCCCTTCCCCTGTATAATTCTAAGACACCCTCATTTCAAAGTTGCTAAAAATAGAAGCATGGCGTCTGGTATGTAACAATATACAATATTGCAGCTGTGTCTTTATGATGAATAATAATACTTTGGAGTTATATGATGAGGCAATCACTTTGCAAGCGCAATCTCATTAACCCTCACAATATTCTGATTAGGTAGGCAGGTGGCAAGTGATCTGAACTCAGTTTGCAATGGAAGAAACGAAGGCACAGAAAAGATCAGAAACTTCCCAGGAAGCACATGGTTTCCTCCGTCTTGGGAATATAGCCCAGATTTTCTTTCTTCAAACCCAGGGCTTGAGCAGTGGTCCACACGGCTTCTAAAGTTTAGCACCAGAGCAAACACAAAATTGGCACTGCCCTGGGTGTACCATCTTGGAAAACAAGGCTGTCCCCTTGACTGAGTGGCAGCGCCACCCCAAGATGAAAAGTATAGTGGTTGGGATTTTTTTTGTTTTGTTTTGTTTTTTCTCTCCCTTCTCTCTGACAATTAACCTCTTCCCCACCACAAAAATAAACAAACAAACAAATAAATATCTAAACTGTCTTGAAACCAACCATAGAAATTTTAAAACCCCTTTATGACTTCATTCACTGTTAAAATCTCCTAAGCTTTTGCTTTGGTTTATGGGTCCAGTTTAAATAAAGGTCAATTGTTTTATAAAAAGTCACTGTTCCAAAAGTCTTTCAATACTCTGAGGGCACCCTGTCTAAACAGCTTTCTCCTCTCAGTCTTGATTTTATTCGTTTCTTTGTTAATGGGGAAAATACTCCTTTGCTTTCTTAAACATGCTGAGCGCTTTCCCTTAGACTAGAGGAACGGGTTTGGTGCTGCTGATATAAAAATCACAGGAAAATGAC